AATTGTAACAACCTATAGTCCATTTGTTTAGGTACTTAACTAAATGTAAACAATCTTGATACATCTTTTTATTGAAACACATGCTTTACAAATCAATAGGTATAAAAATAGGCATGCAATTTCATATGAAGCTAAATATTTGTATTTTGTATTTGAAGGTAAGGGAAAATCATTTTATAAATGTATATTTCATTAAATAGACATCTCAAGATTGTTTACATTTATTTAAGTACGTAAACAGATGGACTATAATGCAGTAATTTCACAAAAAATCATGGTGGTGAAATATTCAATAGACTTGATTCTATAATTTATTTTTAATTCCGTCGTGTTTTTGACTGCACAATACGTAAAGGTAACATAAAACAAGTGCGACTATAAGGTAAATAATGTATTATTTCCACGAGCAAACACGTTTTTAACACGAGCGGGTTAAATCAAACAATTCTCGTCATGTTTGATGTTTTTATGAAAGCAATCGTAATGTAAAAACAATGAATAAGTTACTGTAAATATGGTTTTGTTTCGTACGTGTTTATTTATGTGTTTATCGATTTGATTTCTGAATATTTCACCCCAATTCTTCCGTGTCAAAATAGACACGTCCATCCATTGACTTACTATATGGACGTCGGGTCCGCGCTAAAAAGTGTCCGAACTTATAGGACGTTAAAATCGTATACAGAGCGTCATTCACGCTTTAGTCTTCGTTTGTTCGACTGACAGCGAAGCAAGCAAAATTAGACAGTACTGCGATGACATTACAATTTAAATTCAACGTTTTAGCTTTTTCATATTCCTTTATATGTCACTACGTTTAAATAGGTTGACTTGGGACATTTTTTTCGTGGTTTTTGTAGTAGACCCGTCATTCATTTATTTGTAAGTCAATGCGTCCATCCATTATTATGATTTTGGTCGGCAGTTTTATGATTCTTTTACAATCGTACCTAAGCAAATAATGAACATTGAACTTCGGGATAACTCGGAAACCACGAATGTTTCCGAACATTATCATAATAATCATATAATTGTGTATTCGTTTGTATCCATGGCATAATAAAAGCCACGTGATCTTTAATGATTAAAACCCAAGAACTCGCGAACCTCTTAGATCAAACGCATGAGGCTGTTAGGGCTCTTACGTTACGCATTAGAACGGCAGTTCCTGTATTTAGGTATACTTACTATCGTACTGAAGCTTCCAACTACTTGTAGTACTTATTGTTTGTTTTAATTTCAGTCTTCTTCTTATCGTATAGATGACATTCAATATACTATAGTGACCCAGAACTCAGCCACGTCGATCGCGTCACTAGCAGCCGCCCATAAATCCTCAAGCGTGCAGGTGTTAGGGCACGCAGGGCACGATATGAGGTGGGTCATCGTTTGAGTCGCACCGCACAAGCAGTCCAGGTTAGAACCACCTGAACAAATTGTCCTTGCTCCGACCAACCTGAGTTCGAAGCCTATTCAAAGACGTCCAGATCGGCCATGGCAATTCGTGTCTAGGAGGAGGACTCTCAGAAGGCGGGACAAACGTAGATGGTACTCTTGCGTGAGCCGGCTCAATGCTCAGAGGATTGACACATTTGACAAAACTTTTTCGACTCCACAGTCTCTATTGCACTGTGAAGTGATCGTGCATAGGGTCCCGAGTGTCAATGGCCATTTTTGCTCTTTTGCAAGATGCCGCTATATTTCTGCGGATGTCTGGCGGTATTATGCGAGTTAATGGGTACAGCAATCTTACCGGGATCGGCTTGACACAGCCAGTTATGCTCCGGCAAGTGTCATTTAAGGCTGTATCCACTAATTTTGCATCGGTAGAACGGCTTCAAACAAGGCGGGATATTTAATTTCAGTTACTTTATTGAAATGAAGCAACCACATGAAATTCTAGGTGAAAACTCCAGAGGAGGACCTATATAAGCTTCTTGCTTGCAACGCGATGTTTGTGCGCGTTTGAATCGGTTCACTACAGCGTATCGGTTGCCCAGATGACTGCGCGTTTACGGTGTATATATTTGTTTTTTTTTTCTACTAACCATTTCGTTGGTTTGTTTGAAAAACCAATTATACGCGATTTATTTATTGATAATAGTTTCATTTCCGATGTGTAACAATCACTGAAACCTGACAACTTTTCAATTCTTCACTTTGTCCGGTTACGATTTTTTGATATTGACATGGTGAAAAAACCGATAATTCAAGTAGTTATATATTATATATAACGTCTCTGCGTAATCTTAGACCCTATATCTAAACTGTTAAGTTCAACTTTTGATTGCAGTAGCTAACTGATGATTGAAAAAAAAATATAATCGCAAATACATTACAATGAAATACGTTAACAATGCAATTGTCAACTTACGTAAATCTAATAGCTCCGTAACTTGTTCTTAGGCAATAGTGTAGAACGTTTTTGATATAGTGTTGTAGCGCCCTGTGGCTGTAAGGGAAAGGGCAATTTTGCAATCTTTTTTTTAATTTTACTTAGATAACCGGCAAATTTTTTTATGATATCAAGACGAAGAAGTCGTGCGCCTGATGGTTAGCGACGTGTTAGTTGCAGTGCCACTCAGAGCTGTAAATCGCAAACATATGAGAGGCATTGTCGCTGCGCCCATAAGTTCACAAGTCCCATGTGCCTGTAATATCACCAGCAACAGTATACTCTTCAAAACATAACACAGCATTACTATGTTCCAATTTTGAAGAGAAAGGGTGTTGGTGAAATGAACTTGGTATTATAAAAAAAACACACGTTCATACAATAACAAATGGAGCAAATCTGGTGGCATCTTATAAGGGAGCATTCATTATCCTGCATTGCAGTTCGGTTTCCCGTCTGCCGCATAGTGCAGGATAATGAATGTAGTCGCGGCGTGCCAGCTATCATACGTCCTGCGAGACTCCATACGTGGGTCATACGTACTACGCAGGATAGTGTGTGAGCAGTCTCCTGCCTGCGCGGCGGATGGGGGTCCGATGGGGGCAGGTAGTGAATGAGCCGTTTAAAACGGCTGCTCACACGCTATCCGTATCCGTACGAACCACGTATAGTCTCGCAGGACGCATTCCAGGAATGCAGGATGGCTTACATGCTACGACTACAATCATAATTCTGACTTACTGCAATTGAACTGCCACCCTGATGCGTCACTTGTGTGAGAGCTCTGATAGCTTCTTGCGTTTGATTTAGGGGTAGGTAACTAGCTAGCGACATAATGGAACTAGGTTCACATTTACATTGCAATTTTTAATGTGTAATAAATAATAAGCCATTACCAATATGGTGTCAGTTAAATAGGTACAGATACAGTCGTCAGTTTAGGAAATGAAACTATTTTTCCGGATTTAAATTATAGTCAACCGTGACCATGGGACCTGTAAAGGGCCCGAAACGTCGGTTTGTTTAAAAAAAAACAAATTTACGCGATTTAAATCCGGAAAAATACTTTCATTTCCTATGTGTAACAATCGCGAAAACCTAAGAACTCGATAGTCGTCAGTTAATTTCACATTGGAAAGTAAAGTATTTTTCTAGATGGTTTTTTTAAAGAAACCACCGTTTCAGGCTCTTTATACGTCACACGGCCACGGCTGACACGCAATTTTAGATTCGTAAATAATTTTTTAAATTTCTAATTGATTCAGATGACTTCAAAAGGCTGAGTTTATCATATAATTTTGGTTCTGATGCGTTCATTCATATAATTCTATGATAGCCTCTTTACTAACATAGGCTATAAGTTTGTGTGCCTAACATGATATGGACAATGTCTGGAATAAAAATGTTTATTTAATTACTACATATGGACCCTGTGCTCCCTTTTCATGTCTCCATATCCACTTTATCCCAAAGGTTCTCGGTATCTTGTGATATTGCTTAAATATTGCGTTATTTATTTATTTTATTTACATAACGTTTATAGAAATTTAAATATTATAAATTAATATAAAATAATAAAATTATTTTGAAATATATTGTAAGTATTCTATTATTTATGAATTGTCGACATTGCCGTGGCTCATTTGTCTTTGGATTTAGGTTTACCACATTGAAATCAATTTTGCGTCGATCTGTCACAGTTGCAATGTAGTTTCGGAAACGTGCCCTCCGATCGGCCTCCGTGGAAATGTTAGCATTGAATTGTACCCTGTATCTTAAAGCCTTGAAACATTTTTTTTTTATAACTTATTTGTTAGTTGATTGCTCGCAGGTCGCCTAACTCCAGGCGGTCAGTTCTCGAATGGCGCAACCCACCATCACCAATTTGTGATGTATTTTTATTAAAAAGTACAATAAAATGTAAATCGAATAATAATATTCATTTAATGACAATAAGAACCAGAATTTCCACTGTGTGATATAATAGCAAATATCGTCAAAGATACGATATAGAACGTTGGGCTTGGGCACTGGATGACCGCGGCTGTGATGAACGACGACGGCACGCGGCGTTCGCGCCCCACGCGATTCCATAAAAGCAGAACAAAAGGTCGCGCGGCCGCAGTACCTCTCCTACAGTCTAAACACGACGCTGCCTGCTATGGGGAGTAAGGTAAATATAATCAATTAATGAATATTTGCATAGAAAATTAAACTATTTTTTAACGTTTCGGGCTGCGGTGGTATGTTTTGAGAGTAGGTCACGACTGTAAGGGCCCGAAACGTTGGTTTGTTTGAAAAACAAAAATACGCGGCTTAGATTCATTTCCTATGTGTAACATTTGCGAAAACTCGATAAATATTTGCTTGTTATGTATTTGTACTTTTGTTTACTTCTCTATTTCTTGGAACAAAATTATTTAAATTTATTTATTTATTTTTGCAGGTACTAATAACAGCCATTTGGTGGCTGGCCATCTGTGAGGCTCTGGAGGTTCAGACACAAGTGAATAGTTCAATAGTAAATGACAATGAAAGTGCCGAAAGTGCTCCTCGGTTGTATGCGAGATCTGGAAATATAGTTCGAGTTTACGCCAGCTCTTCGCCGTATGGGGCATACTCGTACAAAGTTCCGACTGTGATTAATGGACCACTGGCCGCTGGGTCCCAGGTTGCGCCTATCAGTGTCTCCGACTCCGTTTCTAAAGGCTCCAGTGGATACTTGAAGAGTTTAAGAGATTCTTATGGAAAATTCTTAGCTACCCCTCAGGCAGTAGCCTACAAGGCGGCATTCCCGCAGCAATTTTTGCCGATTCAAGCTTTGCCGGCTCATCTGTCTCAACCCTTAGCCGCTGGTACCACACCTAATTTACAGTACAGACCGTTTACTCCAAATTATTTCTTCGGAACTCCGTACAAAGCACCGTCACTGTATTCTTATTCTGCGACACCCACCCCTTTGACGCAATTAGGTTTCAGTAAACCTCTGGTATATGCAGGAAATATTAAAAACTTGTCACCTGTGTCGAATTTCCTTCCTCGAGGAAATGAATTCCCTGGGTTCGTGCCAACTCAGCAGCAGCAGGCTACAGGTAGTAAAAGTTTATACGCAAACGCACCTGATGTTCAACAGAAACCGCTACAGCACAATGTGCTTTCGGCTCACGGAAGTACCCAGACGGGTGAAAATAATGGCAAAGGACAAATACAAGCAGCACCGGCGCAAACCAGTGTCACAGCTTTTGTTAATGGGAAAAAGACTGTGGTCACGTTGGACACCAATCCGCCCGTTCCACAAATAGACATTAGTCTTCTTGAACCTTTGACGTTTGAAAATCCCGTCGTGCCACAGGTGCAACATTTCTTACCGAAACTTAATTCTGCAACTTATACAAAACTTCCAGTTTATAACATTCAACATTCAAGCAAACTACACAAAGATATTCCTGTTCATAGAATAAATGTCTACAATAGTGAAGACGTAGAAACTAAACCCAAAAAGACATCGGATAAGAAAAAGACTCGACAACAAAATATCCCCGCGAAACCGCAAGTAGTTGTAAACAACGACAACCCCAATGAACAAGAATTTTCTTACGAAATCGACATGCCAAATCACAAGGAAACTTACAATGAGCAGGTGGTGTCGTACGAAAAGGAAACCAACATGAAACCCGTTACTTACGCCTATAATAAACAAAGTCAAAGTGAGCCAGAGAACTACAGTTACAGCCATAGTTCTAAAGAACCGTCGAAGGTAACACATGTGGAGTATGGTGACAATGAAAGCCCGAAGCACCTTGTTTATACTTTTTCACCTGAAGAGAATGAGGAGGAAAATAATGCAGACCACCAACATCGCTCTGAATCTGAAGAGACTACGGACTCAAATGGTGATGAAAATCCTGTCTCGCAACGTGAGTCTTCAAGATACGACGAAGAAGAAAATAAACACATCGAAGACAATAATAAGTACACTATGCGCCACAAAAATTATAAGAATGACGATGCATCGCCTAAAGAATTTATTCGCAATGAATCGCCCGTGGGTCATTCTCATGATTCAAACTATCAAGATTTGCCTCAGCACTATTCAACGCAGCAGACACCTGGTCATGTTTACTACTCTGGCAATCAGCGTTCACCCAGCCCGCAGCATCATAAAAACCGTCATGTACATCATTCACACCCACCTGCGCACTATCGTCATCTTCATCATCATCATCATAGTACCGAACGAACGTCGAATCCCATACAAAACACGGAGTTACCTAGGCAGTCCACTAGTCTTAAAGCTGAACATCGTGGGCAAGAGTACAAACAACAGCCAAAGCAAGAATTGCAACATGAAGTTGCACATAATATTAAATCTGCTCCACATTATTATTCTCAGCCATTAACAGTGGCAGTGCAAAACGCCGTCCAATTAATTACTCCTGAATACGAAGAAGATATAAAGATACTGCCAGCTCATGCACCCAACGCTCCGCAGCGTATCCAAAATCATCCAACGCCCTTGCCTAATCCTAAACCATTTAGTTCTGCGGCGCCACACGTTCTTGAACAATCAAACAGAGCTATTATCAAAGAGAAAGAAGAAACTCCTGACGTAAATCACACGCAAATGGAACAAGTTGTGGGTGAAACGGACGAAGGAGAGGAAAGCGAGGAGGAAGATTTTGAGAAAGCTTACAAAGCATCCGCTTTTGGCTTTCCTGCCTACGAAGCAGTGATAGAAGAAATGGAGGACGGCGAAAGTGATGTTGACGATCCCGATTCGTACGGCGCACCACGCTACGAAACTGATAACTATAACGCGAACAGCCCTTTTGAAAAGTATCAAGTGGAAGATGACCCGTATCCTAAGTCACTTCACTCGTCATATAAAGATGCAAGCGAGAATAAAAAAGAGGATTATTATTTGGATTACGCTGTTAATAAGCCCAATGTATATGCTGATTTTTACAAGAAAAAAGCTGATTATTACAAATTATTCAAAAAGCATAAACCGGAAAAACCATTCTTCCAAAACAGGGATGAAAACAATAGGGAAATGATAGAAAATGAAGATGAGAGAAAGGTTGAGGCTGCATCATCGTACCTGTATCCAGTGTCACCTGCGCAAAAACCGAAACAAATCATTTATAATTCACAGTACAAAACACCGAAAACTATATTCAAATACGACTATGGAAAACCACGTGACAATCGTGCGTACGCATCACAGCCCTATATTCATAAACATAAAACTAATTTTGTGGAGCCACAGTTCCAGTACGGTTTCGAGCCTATTACAGCGCCGTTAGTTCTAGATAGTGAACTTGCTGCGATGGCTAGTAACGACAGTCCTGAAAGTGAGAAGCCTGGTATGAGAAAAAAAGTATACGAAGAAAACTGGTACATAAAGAAAACAAGAACAGCGGCCGGCAAGCCTAGCTGATAAGAATTATTTATTTCTATTGTAATGTTATGTTGTTAAGTTCTATTTAAGTCGATAATGAATAAATCTGTTGAATGTTTAAATGCTTTTCATTAAACATCCGTTCCGTTATGCCTGAAAGGCGAACGTTCAGTTTCGAATAATTGGTTCATCAGGTGTTGCGCAATGAAACTTTCGCTTTCTTTCAATGTATTACGTGACAGCCCTATTTGTTGCTGCCGCTTTAGCCTGGAAATAAAAACAGCACAACGTGTTATCAAGCTAGATACCATCGGCATGGAAGACAAAAAGTCCTTCGATTATTTTTTACCTCGAGAGACGCGGACTCCATCTCACGCTATGCTCAAATCTTTTCAATGTAACGTGTTCGCTATCAATAATTTTTTCTATGGTCACATAATTTACTCTTTTCATTAACGACTGTGGCAGTATGCTAGCGAGGGCTATATATTCCAGTTTTTTGTAGCCTGTTGTTTTATTATTAATAACGCACACACGCAACATAGCCCCGCACTAGGTAAACCCTGTGTTGCGGGTGCCATGGACACACACATAGTCAACCACTAATTACACCCAAACTCACGAGAGAAATAAATGTAGGCCATACAAAACTTCTCCCGGCCAGAGGCAGTTAAAATTATTGAGATATATCTAAATAATTGAAAATTCCATTGGTTGTAAATGTTCAATGAACGCGATAGATAACAATAACACGTTGTTTTCAACAATGTTAAAAAACAATTGCGTCTTGAGTGGATACAGAAAGAGTAATAATGTATTGGTTGAATAATAAGAACCGACATTGCGATTCTTGTAAAGAGACCATAGCAAAAGTAGCACCTGGTAACAAGCACTGAGCTTTGCCAGAACTTACGCAATAGCTGATTAGCGATGCTTGCGACAAGTTGTAAACGGCAGTTAGGAAATATACAATAAAAAACTATGTCCACTTAATTTTGTGAGAAATACTGTGCTTCAGCGCGTCAGTGGTTAAAGGGGCGTCCCTGTCCTTGACCGCATCTTTTCCATATAACTTTTATTTGCATAACTACTTTATGTTTACCATTTCTCGACGTAAATAAAAAACTTAGGTTGTTCACGTTTGTGAAAACACTGATTGAATCTGACATGTACAAAATAAGTATGGTTTCACTGTGTACAAATATTGAAGGTGTTTTATACATTCGCTCACTAAGCCAGCCCCCGTAGTATAGCTACCGTGTTAGTCGCGACGCGCGCGATAAAATTGGTATAATCGCGCGCTATTGGCTGTCTCAATCAGATCTAATTTAGATAGCCAATAGCACGCGCTTATTTCAATTTTATCGCGCGTGTCGCGACTATCATGCGTAGCCATACTACGGGGGCTGGTGTAACATGTTTATTTTTCTATTGTCAGTAATTTAAACGGTGATATATGGGTCAATTTTAATGATCATGATGATGATGATATCATAAAAAACCATAACCCAGTTATAGAATATTGAAATTGTTTAATGACATTTCAGGTATGCATCGTTAGGGTCAGTTCCGATAAGTCGAACTCGTTAACTAATTTTAATTGTTTTCAAAAGAGAATTTTGTGCTTTATACTTTTGCTATTTGAAACGGATATTTGACCCTTTGTCACTTAGCCCCGTTATAGTTAGTGGACGACAATGATAATTATATATCAAAATAATAATAATTTGAATGATATGATGTCTATAATAATATAATATAAGATAATAAATACCTAAATACAGTGAATACAGACACTGTGTAGATACCACGACCACATAAATACTAGTAGTAGATCTAATAAAGATCAATAAATATAATTGGTTTTTTTTAATGGCTGGTTTTTCTCAGACCTTAGTACTTACGGTAAATTATTGCAAATTTTTGGCATCTATACAAAAATACTTTTCTGCATAGATGTAGTTTTACAGGCTTTCAAATGCAGTGGATCATTTTCCTTTTTAAATTTTTTGTGTTTATGAAATGACAAAAACAGGACATTATTTCTGTAATGTACTACTTAATTGTTTCTTACAGTAATATTTGAAATAAAATGCGGATCAGTTCATTTCATGAAGGGTTTAATGTACATTATAAATTAAAACATAAATTAAAAAATACTGTTATGTAAACCTAAGCTTAATTTTCATCACATTTGCTCGTAAACAGTGTCGTGACATGCAGGAAAAGTCGCTCGTAATGTCCTAAATAATATCCACGGGCTTTTTCATTACATTATCGCCCAATGAATTTTTTATGCTCAAAGAATCTGAACGTATTTTTCGCATAAACTTTTCGCTTTCGTATAAATTTGTCAATTCAAATTTTGTAGTATTTTTAGAATTTGGAAATTATTTGTCTTATATGTAATATAATGTGGCTGCATACGTCTGTGCCTATCATGACATTTAACTTCGAGTTAAACTATAGAAGAATTGTCAGTAATCTGCTTAAAAAAAACAAACAAAATCCGTAAATGTTGCGTTGTGAAGCGATATTCATTCATACAAGAAATAAATTATCGTTGTATCTATTACCTCGCAAATGTGATGAAAAACATTGTATGTAGCATGGGCGGTAAAAATTACAAACCTCGAGTCATTAAAAACTTCTTATTTACCGCCCTTAATAAACAACGATTTTATTTATTTTACATTATGGTCTGGCAATAAGTATTAGGTATAATTTACTTTGTAACTTGTTCTCTGGAATCACGACCACATTTTGTTTGCAATGTTTATGACTAGTATTTAAAAATAGATACAAAAGAGATTTCATGTAAGAACTCTACAATTTCCACTTGTATTCTAGAGAGACGTTTAAAAAATATTTTAGTCCAAAAATACACATTATAAGAATAAACACGAAATGTGAACTATTCCGTATTAGGCGTTCAACCACCACACTACAACACGACTCTATCACATATAACGTTATTTTTTTGTAATGTTTGCTATCTCTGCTTTCTATGGTCCTCTGTATCCACTTCCACCATTTTGTTTCGTTTGAAAAGCCTTATTGTCATCATAACTGTTGAGACTCCAAGAATCACCGCGACAGCAGCCAAAATCACTACAGCGGTTGATAAGTGAACATCATGGCTTATATCGAACATTTCAGCTACTAAAGCTACTGGCCGCAAAATCTTCACCACGGGTTCGCAACCTGACTCCCTAACGTATTTGGCCCACGTTCTGTTAGCGTATGTCAACTCTCTAGGCTTTATGAATGGCCTCCTGCCAGGAACAGTCTTGTTAGCATTTATTGTCATATTTCGTAACTGTGTCTCATTGTAATGGCAATACAAGCTCCTTTTCTTCTTATTCCCTTTTACGACAATATCTTTTTCGGCACTCTTAGCGCCTACAAGAACATCTAGGTCGCCCTTGATCATGTTCGCCCAGTCCCACATTTCGGCGATCTTGCAATCACAGACGAATGGATTGCCCACTAAATTCAAGGAGTGCAGTTTTGGATTGTTGACAAAAACGTCGGGGTCGATCGTCGTCAAGTTGTTATTACTCAGATTTATTTTTTCTAACTGTTGTAATATTTCTAAAAATAATAAGCTTCCTGGTTGAGATTTTAATCTATTCCCGGCTAAGTTTAAGTCTGTTATATTTACCGTATTCTTGAAAGCATCGACGTTTAGAGAAGATATATTACAGTTGCTCATATCAAGTATGGTAACTTGAGACAATTGTTTCGGGAATACTGGTCCTGCAGCCGGAATAACTAGAGGATTACCTCCGAGCCTTATTTCTCTTAAATCCATGTATGTAAGATTTTTAAAGAACGTGTTAGCATCTAGAGGTCTCTTTAATCCGCAGAACTCTAATTCGAGTGTTGTAAGTTGGGTTAAATTTCCAAATAATCCTGCTTCAAGTGACAATAGATCATTACCAGATAGAACAAGCCTTTTCATTGAAGTCATCTTAGAGAAGGTGTCGGGTCCAATGTGGGAGAGGTTGCTGTAACCCATGTTGAGATATTCCAACTTGTCTAGCGGTGCCAGGAGTCTAGTAAAAACATTTACTAATGGATTGTGAGATATATCTAATTCTTGAAGATTGTCAAACGTGTTGAAATTATCAGGAAGATTATGTAAATTACAGTTACTAAGAAATAGTCTTTCCAATCGAGGTAAAGGTGCTATTGCTTCTTGTAGATCAGGAGCAAATAAGGGGTTGCCAGATAAATACAGACTTTTCAGTCTTGTAGCATTAGCAAAAGCTTCTCCGGAAATGGGCTCTCGTATTTTGCAATTGGATAAATCTAATTCTTCTAAATGATTCAAGCTTGTGCCCAAAGTAGCACCGACATCCAATTCATGTAATTCGTTATCTGCCAAGATCAGTGTAACTAAATATGTGCAATTTGCGAATGTGTCCTCTGATAGGAAAGTGATTGCTGATTTCCTCAAGTTTAAATATTCTAATCTCCCTAGTTTTCCAAAGACTTCTGGCCAATCAGTATTTGTTAAAAGGTTTCCAGCTAACTCTAAGCTCTTGAGATTGCTTAATGCAGCGAATGTATTTTCGGTGATGGTTGTGAGTTTGCAATCATTGAGTTTCAAGGTATCCAGGCTTGTTAAAACATCAAAAACCCCAGCTTCTAACGTCGTAAGCGGATTATTTGATAAATCAAGAGTCGTTAAGGATGTAATGTTATCGAAGAATTGAGGATTAATCGTAGATAAATTACAGGAGCTTATATCTAGGAACTGTAGAGTGCTAGATATCAGGAAGGGTCCTTCGATCTTGCCGATTGGATTATCTTGCATTTCCACGTTAAGAAGACCTCGAGAATCTCTGAAATGTCAGAAAATACGAATAAGATAGTCTACAAACTTCAATCGTTCATACTTTTTGAGAATAATTACTTAGGTATATGTGGTTAGGTACTCGTCTAAACAGGTCTCTAGGCGAATTCAATTTGCATTCTTTGTGCGGCCATTATCTAATATTGGCATCACGAGTTGAGGCAATTTGTCGCGCTTCAGCCTGCCCGCACACAACAAGTTCAGATCTAATTGGAACAATTTTATCATCAACATTGTGTGCTCAGGGATGGATGATAGAGCAGTCAACCAAACAATAGTTGTCCGTGAGAATATATCTCCAGTGTGAAGTAAACAATGACTCATAGTTTCATTGTCACTGGCACCATATTGTTGTCGTAAAAAAGTATAGTATAGCTAGCTTATAGTTTCTGTGTCTGATTACGAGTCCAGTAAAATGTTAAAACCTCCAATTTGGGTTCTAACAAAAATAGGAAACACGAGAAGCCAACCACAATAACTAGATTATGTACCATAATGTAATTAAATTACAACATTCAGTCCGGTCACGTGGCTTTAAATGAAAGTTTCCCAAAAATTAATAAAAATATCTGGCATACTTACAAGAATGCTTCAGGATCGACGTAAGTGATATTGTTTCCCGATAAATCCACATCAATTAGATACTCCAGACCTTTGAAAGCCTCCCTATCCACTCGTGTTAATCTGTTGTAGGCTATTTGCAGTCGTCTCATCTTTATATCGGTCGGAAAAGTTTTCAATGTGGTAATATTGTTTCCATTTAAGTCAAGAATGTATACGCTCAAACTTAACTCGTCGTATGGAACTTCAGTGAGGTTGCTTTCCGAGCAATCGGTAACCCAGTTGATCCTAAAGTAGTGGCAGTCACATTCGTCAGGACATTCCAATTCAAAGCTGTCTCCGTTGAAGCCATACGTGAAACCAATTGCGGTTAAGCAAAACGCAAGTACCGTGAGTGGAGCCATAATGAAACTTGTATCTCCGCACAAAAATCTTCAAATTTTAGCGCGCATATTGAACCTGAAATTGAAAAATACTACTATTAATCTAGAGCAACATGACTAGTCGATTAGATATTGAAGTTAGCGGGCTGTTGATAATCAATAACACATACATGAACATGTGAATTGATACTTCTGCGTTTAATGTTGTCGTTAAATGTAAAGCATGTTTGTGCTTTTGTAAATAGCACATGCAACACGTTTTATTGGTCAATAATAACCCGGTTTGTAATAATACCTAAAGAAATTAATCCAATTTAGTTTCATGAGATAGTTATAGGTTACGAAAATGTAATCAGCGGCTATAATCAGTTCTCGTTGGTAGGTAAATAGCCTTCGATTAAGTATTAATTAAGAGAAACGAGCCCGTCCCTTGGTTCGTTTGAGACGGGTCTGCAGAATTGTAGCGGTCAACGATTGTAGCGCGGAGGAGTGACAATAAGCATAATGGACGCCTTCCTGTGCGTATGTCACGAGCTGTTTCCCGCCAGAATTTTCCAGAACACATCTGATTGTATCATGCTTCATAACTACACACTCGTGGGTCAAAATCGCGATGTATCTTTCGTTATGAACAGTATTTGTTTTGTTTTCGTAAGTTATCTTTCTTGGTAAGCATACATACGAGTATGTATTGAAATGAATCATTAATAGGTAAAATCGTATCCTACTCATTGGGTGGTTTTGAGTTAATGTTGAAACGACTTCAAAAACGGAGAAGATTACCAATTCGCCTTTTATTTTCTTTTTTTGTTTGTGTTCGTGATTACCTACTCGGAAATTTCTAGGATCGGCGACTATAACACCTAAGTCAAATACCAACATCATTCATTTAAATCGACATCGACAGACTAAGGGTCGTATTCCAGAACTCTACTCAATGCTCAAGTCAGGATTTGAGCAGACTTGAGTATGATTTCAAGCACTGGAAATACGACCCTAATAGCAAGGACTTGGGTATGATTTCTAGTGCTTTGAATCATACTCAAGTCCTGACTGGCATTGAGTAGTGTTCTAGAATACGTCCCTTAAACACGTAAGTAAAATTCATTTGGTTGATTTGTTTGTTAATGACACGGAACAACAAACTTTGTTTGTTTAATTTTTCGGTTATGTCATTAGGTCTGCCAACCCTAGATTTGTGAACCGATTTTGATGATTCATTTTTGTTGGAAAGGGAGTACTGTAGTAGTGGTCCCATTAAATATTTGAAGAAAATATCCCACTTCCAAGAGTGGCAAATTAGGAAATGAATGCGGTTTATTGAATTTGACCCACTTTCTGCTAACCGATTTTTTAAAACTTGGCACATGGAAATAATTCGAAAGAAAAAAAATCACAGCGACAACGGGTGACGTTTGCGGTCAGTTCTTTGTTATAAAAAAAATATTTATAATTAATATTATGTATGCATTCTGTAGTGTTTTTCCATCTATGGATAAAACGTACTAATCCAAAAAATGAACACTGTTTTCCTACAATTTGCTATAAGTTTGTAGAATCAAACCATCCGCGTGTCCATGGTAAATTATCTTCATCTCGTACGCAAGAAATGTTGCTTACGTAAAAACAATTCCATTTTCCTAGCATGAAATGAATAACCATCATTCTCTTAACGCGTGATTTTTGCTGTGATATGTGATTCTTTAATGGTAAGTTCATCACAAAGTACTTAATTAAATTACCTTTTATCGACTTTGATTGTTGTTGATTGCTTTCTTAGTAATGTTATTTTGCTCTTGTAAATGAAACTTCCTTGAAATCTTGACGTATGTCTTGGGAAATATCTTAAGTAGTGTAGGTAGGTACAGGGTCAAGAGCACGTCAAGATTTACACTTAAGACTTACATTCAATTCTATGTCGCTTACGATAAGAACGGCCCAAAGTACCTACAAAGTGTCAAGCTTGACGTGCTCTTGACTGTACGTTAGTCGTACTAAGATTTCCCCTTGTTGGTAGCTCATACTTAATTATTTCCTGTATTAAAACATTCATTAAGGATATGCTAGCTGATATTTAGTATCCAAAATCAATTTAAAAGAGCATGGAATATTTCGAGAAGACAATTCGATTATTTCAAATATTTAGGTAATCTAACATTGCCACAAATCGATTTTACGCAAACCTCTGCAAATTGGCTTAAAAAATAAAAGATCTATAATATGATGACTATAACAGAATCGAAATAAGGTGGATCTGCGGTTAAAAGCAATGGAACCGTATCGAATGGGGGTAATTGACAAGTGTTGGATCAAATTCCTCGTCAGTTGCCGCTGCCCTTGCGTTAGTGATTGCCTCATAATGGCTTTTTGAATTGTGCCACTAAATAGTTTGAATTTTGGTAGGGTTGCATTGTATCAGTCTCTTCTACTGATCGAAAAGCGAGTGGCTTCACATCAGTATTGGTCAATACTTAAACGAAGATTTAAAAGCCGAATGATTACTCCATTCACGGCTAGAAATAAATAGTTTTGTACAGAGAAACATAGACAAGATCAATATTAAGAGCATAAAAGGAGACTCAATCGCCTGATATTGGACAGTTCCTATTTATACACAAGTTTTCAGGATGTTGGAATAAGGATCTTCTGCAAAATGTGTAGATCCGACCTTTCTGGGTTGGTGCTTATTGGATCACACATTAATAGCGTTAGAGCTCTTTGTTGCTCTCTTCACTGCCACCATACCTTTTTCTCCTGCCAAGCAGTAGTAGTATGAGCACACTAGCACATGAGATTCATCAAATGTATGTCTCAGGGTGATGGACGCAGTGGCAGTGCCCCTCAGATCTTTGAATGGCACTGCAACCAGAATAGTCGTGACGCTTGCCAAAAATTAAAAAAAAACACCATAATTTATTCCCGTTATAGTAGTAGTAGCACGCAAGGAAATTCAGAAGATATATAGGCCTTTTTCCAATAATGCCGCACGATGCGTTGTGACGCTGTGTTGTACCACATATACATCAGAGCGACTTGCCACACGGTGTTTTGAAACGGCGTCAACACATCAACACCCGTGTGGCATCGCTCTTAGTACTATAAAATCATAGCGTTGCGGTGACACAACGCGCGTGTGGCATCATCGCTCTTACGTTTAAAT